GAAAGAATAAACCGGTTTTATTTAAGAAAGGACTTGTATCACTGAAGTTTCTCGGAAAGAATTTCTACGGAAAATTAACAAACGAACAGAGAGACGTAACACAGATATCTATAGGTGTGGCCGATAAATTGGCTTATTGGATAGAAAACTGGATGGATAGGAAAAACAGACGGTTTTTACAAATTGAGTTCACTTAATCTGGATGATTGTCATAAGTGTGGTACGTTTTGGCTCAGTGTTAAGACCTTTGCTGTTTTTGATTTACACCATGACTAAGATGGAGGAATGGATAATAAATTACTTAAGTTTGCTGATGATATTAAGGAGGATATTGAGGAGGGTGCTGATTCTTTACAAAATTATATTGAATGTTTGGTGAGATGGGTTATTACATGGCAGATGGTTTTTAATTGTAATAAATGCAAACTAATGTATTTCATCTATTATAATTTGAATTATGAATATAATTTTGATGAGTTTTGTTACGACAGCGGAGGTCACGTGACTCTAGTAACACGTCATATTCTCGAAGCTTCGTGAATCCTCGGAAGGTTACTAGATTTCGGTATTCTTTTATATATAAGACGGTCAAGACGTGACGGCAGTAATGTAATGAGTAATTGAACTGCGGACAGAGAGAGCACGTGAGATGTTCGTTGTGAATTATAGCATTTGTTATAGCGTGACTGTGGAAATTAAGTGTATTGCAAAGTTGTATTTAGAAAGAATAAACCAGTTTTATTTAAGAAAGGACTTGTATCGCTAAAGTTTCTTCAAAAAGAAATTATACGGAAAATTAACTAACGACCAGAGACGTAACAGTTTGTTTATTTAGAGTAAAGCCACATTGGGCTATCTGCTATGTCTACCGCAAGGAATCTAACCCTAAACTTGTCACTGACACAGCGGGGGACAATGTTTATGGTAAGGATCTCAATAGTGTTATCAAAGAAAAAGATCTTGTTGTTGTGGTTTAATGTAGCCTTAAGCCATCCAAGTAGTGTACTATTCCTAGTGGTAAGGCGAATAATATTTTTGGCTGTATCTAAAGAAATATTGAATACAAGGCTATAATTTCATTTAATAGCTAGCTGGTTAGGCCATGTTTGGGGTATTGTGTTTAGTCTTGGGCTCATCGCCTTAGGAAGGACTTTGAATTGTTGAAAAATATTCCAAAGAGTGCTACTAGGATAACTTCTGGGATGGAGAGGTTTTTATACAATGATAGGTTAAGACCTCTGAATTTGTTTTCTCTTGAATATATAGATGAGTTAGAGGGGGTCTGATTGAGGTGTTTAACATTATCATATTATTTCGTGCGTAATGGTGAGTATAGTACGACTAGAAGACACAAATATCAATTTTGACAAGGCAGGAGTCAGCTTCAGCTAACACAATTTTATTTTACTTTTCAAACAGGGTAGTTGACCTTTGGAATGGATTGTCTTCAGTTGTGATAAGTACAGTAAATATAAGGGAATGCAAGAGAAGGCTTGATAAATATTTGAATGTTAAGTGTTGGCTTTGGGTTTGTTTGTTTTTGTTAAATTTAAATAATAGGTTGAACAATAGCCAAGTTTGTGTTATATTTTCATTTAAAGAAGGATTACATTTCGAGCAAGTGCTTTACGTCAGATCGTACAACTAACAACAAAGGCGCATGCACAGAATTCAAATAACTTGCGTGCGTAATATTTGGAATGTTGAGCGTGAAATTTCTGGGCAAAATTACGTCTTTTACATAAAAATTACAGGTCATGAAAAGATAAAACAAATTGCAATTAAAATTTAAACAAAAAATGGAAAAATTAAAATCTATAGAAAGAAAAGTGTTCATTAAACCAGATGGTTGTAGGGTCCACAGATTGTAGATAAATATTTTTTCCCGTCGTTCTCTATTGTGAATGTCTGTCGGAGCACTAATAAGTAATAAGCACGAATCAAAAAGTCTTCAACTGTATGGTTGTTGTTGATGAACTGTTAGCCTAAAGATGTATTCTGCTCTATTACCGACTCTGTGACTCTTGTTTTGCAAATTATGCAGTAAATGATACATTCCGTGATACATGTAAAGGACTGTATAATGTCGAAAGTTGTGTTTTTTTTTCTTCTATATGTGTGGTGCTATTTATATGTGGGTAGGTTACACACCTGTTTCTTTTTTTTTTACATGTGTGAGTCCTGGAGTGTCATTATGTTTTTGTTTAAGGTCACTGTGCACCAGAATTTCTCTTAGGTTTTTGTCATGTCTGTAAGAAATAATGGGTGGGTCCTTGAAAAGCGATAGGATCTTCAGTAAGTATTGTGTAATTGTTTAGTATTATATATTTGATCATTTTGTTGGCCTGATGGTATGTTAGCACAAGTGGAATACGATCAGTGTGGTCTTTCCTGGTAGGGTTGAGTGTTTGCCTCTGGATATATAAACTAGCTTTGGTGGCTGCATCGTGCATGAGAGAATCAGGGTAGTGTCTTTTAGAAAAGAAAGTTTTCATGCCTTTGGATTTAGAGATATAGTCGTTATCATCACTACATAGTTGCGTAGTCGTAGAAATTGTAAGTATGGTATTGACCTTATGTTATTGTACGGGTGGGAAGATTCGAAATGTAGGTACGTCGTGTGCGAATGTGTTTCTTTGTAACGTATACTAGTGGTCAGATGATTGTCTTGTATGTATTAGTTAATGTCGAGAAAGGGGAGTGTTGTGTCAGTTATATCCCACGTAAATTCTAAAGAAGGGTGGAAAGAGGAAACAAAATGTAGAAAAGTTTCTAAATCTGATTTAGGCATGGATGCAATCCCCAGTATACCGTCAATGTAGCGAAGATACATCATAGGTACTGATCCATAGTATTCAGGGGCGGACTGGCCTATCGGGATACCGGGACTTGTCCCGGTGGGCCGATAGTCCAACTCGATTTTGGGCCGATCTA